AACCAAGGAACTCTGGATGGGGAGGGACAGACAAAGGAAGGACGGACTTAATCACAGGTGGACAAAGAGCTGTAATGCTCATCTTTTGACTAACTCCATCAGATTACCCACACTAGAGTGATTATGTTTGGGTGCCCTTAAGAGGCCAGAAGAGGCGATCACATGCCACTGGAGCTGGAGTTATAGGTAGTAATGAGGCATCTGGCTTGCTTGCTGGGAACTGAGCTCGGGTCCGCGGGTCTTCTGGGCAATCAGTCTGTTAACTTCTGAGCCATCTCTACAGCCCCCCTCTGCCCCAATAATTCTTTTACTGTGTAGGCTGTTTGTGCATTGCTGGGTGTTGAGCAACATCCCTTCCTCCACTAAATAGATGCCAAGGTGCCTCCCTCTCTCCCACAGGTGGGAATCAAGATAGTTCCAAACCTGGGGAGGTGTCTGCAGTGCGTGGTGGGAGGGACAGGGATGTGAGGTCATTGAGAACTATTGCTATAAAGATGGTCATAGGCTCGATTTCACTTCTGGGAGAAATTTTGAAATTTTTTGTATCCAAAAGTCTTTAACGAAAACACAGATGTGGGAGCTGCTGACCCTCTAAGTTACGAGTCTGCCTTCTTCCCTAGGAAACCAGTTCCCTAGGCCTGAGATTATTTCACACCTGGAAGAGGAGGAGCCTCAAGCAATGGAGGAAGACAACAACAGAGTAACCATTAAAAGTGAGTGGTGAGGGGACAGCCTAAGAGGATGGGATTGCAGGAAGGTAGCGAGCGACTGGCCCATCCATCAGGAGGAGGTCCAGGAGTTGCTGGTCAGCGGCATCCCTCAAAACCCTCCCAGCCAGGAGGACAGCCAGCGTTGCTCCCCCTGAGGCTCAGTCTCCTGACTGCTTGTCCTCGTGTCCTTTCAGAAGCCCATCTCTGGGCAGCGTGTGTTCCTCTACTGACCACTCCAGGGAGGATGTTTCTGCCTCTCTAGAGGAAGTAGTATTACCTCTTTATAGCTGTGCCCCGTACATGGTGACCACGTGCAGGGAAAAACCAACCACCTAGCATTATGTACAATTTTAACATGTAGTTTCTTCGTTCATACATTTTACATGTTTGACGGTCACGTGGAACTCATGAGTATTAAACTAGCAAAATCAGAGAACTTTCTCATCATGATAGGAAATTCTGTTGGTCGTACTATTCTAGAAAAATCCATGTGGACAAGACATGGTGCTACACATAACCTCAGCTCTCAGGAGTCTGAGGCAGGAGGATCTTGAGTTCAAGACCAGCCTCTGCTTCTGGCTTCCAAGGACTGTATATTTCTTCAGCCTGTGTCTTTGCTGAGCCTCTGGGCTAATCTTGCAACTCTCTTTTTTCTTCTAAGTGAGCCCAGCTGCTGTTCTCTCCACTAATGTTTCCACTGGATCAGTTTCTGTACCTCTGCAGTCATTTTAGTCTGAGTGGAGTCTTTTTTTCCTCCAGATTCATTCATATATATATAGAGAGAGAGGGAGGGAAGGAGGGAGGGGGGAGAGAGAGAGAGACAGAGAGAGAATATCTCCCTGTATCAGTAGGTTCTGGAGCTTACTATGTAGACCAGACTTCTCAAAATATCCATCTGCCTCTTCCTCCAAAGCGATGGGCCTGAAGGTGTGCACCACCGTGCCCAGCTTTTCTCCAGACTTGATACTCCTCTGGTTGGGACACAATGCCGTTCATGAAATGGCATTTGATGCTGACTTGAACAAAATCAGTTGTCAAGTAGTAGAGATTAAATAAAACAAGAGACCAAGAGCTGAGCAGACTTGGAATCCTGCTGCTTTCTTCTGAGCAGGGGGAGGTTGACATCCTCATTGCCTGGTCCCTCAGTGGTCCTGCAGGACTGTGGTAGCAGGTGTTCTCAGATGGATGCCTGACAAGGGCTGCAATCCGTGCCTTCCCTCTTTAGGGGTGCAGGGGCACAGCAAAGACACAGAAAGCCCTATGGGAATGAGGTACACATGGCCGACCCATATTGCATAGTATTTCTTAAGCTGACTAGAAAATAGAGCCCCCCTTGGGTCACAGCTACTGTGCTTTCCACATACGGGTGATGGACTGAGCACGGTTTTGGAAATGCTGGTGAATGGTGACGTGTGCATTGTGGTCTTCATTCTGTTCTGTGTCAGTGGTGTTTTCATCAGCATAGAGTCCCAACACGGAATCTGTGCACAATTTGTTGCTTATTTTCTTGCCCATTCTTTTGTGATCTTTATTCTTTACATTCGTTTCCAGACCTTAACCTGCAAAAGGTCATGTGGGTCAGTTTCCATCTGTTTCTCCCGTAATGATGTGTGTTTCTGAGTAAGAAGATGAGGAGACTTTATGGTATTTCTGTATCTGGAGAAGATCCCTGAAAGCCAAGAACTGACCCCAGAGCAGAGTGCCCTGTAGAAGAACCAGCCATAGCGCAGGGAGGGAGGTCTCCCAGTAGGTAACTTCTGCTGTGTCTTTGTAGGAGAATCTTCTGACGATCCATGGGAACCACAGCAGGACAGCCAGGAAGAGCTGGTCCTCAGTCCTGTGACAGAGAGTGACACCGGGACCTTCCCTGAGGAAGGAGGCCATGGCGGTGAGGAAGACGAGGAGCGCTCTGATCTCTCCAGTCCTCAGGGAATGGAGCCCCTGGAAACCTCGACTCCTGGAACCAGCGCCAGCCCTGAGCCGATGGAACCCATCAGATGCAGTGTGTGTCAGAGAGTCTTTAAGACCCAAGCAGGCCTCAGGAGGCACGAGTCATTCCACTTAGGAATACGGCCCTTTAAATGTTCCCATTGTGACGCAGCCTTCTTCCTCAAGCCCCACCTCAACAGACATCTCAGGAGTCATTATGGTGAGAGGCCTGAGGGGTGTAATGTAGGTAAGAAACCTTCCCCCAGCTTGTAAAGGCCCCTGGGTGGGTGACAAGGGTCAGGTCGATTTCTGTGAATGTCTTGAGTGTGCCAAAGCTTTCATCCACTGAGTGCATCTCTCTCAGCATCTCAGAGTCCATGAGTTGGCAAAGTCTATTTCCCCTGCGATGCACCATAGGACACATGTCATTCACTATCAGCGGAAGCATGGCTGTGTGGGGGAGAGAGCCTGCCAGTGCTGTGACTGTGGCCGAGCTTTCAGTCAGAGCTCCTATCTGGTCCAGCACTGCGGAGTTCATGCTCATGATATTCCTTACCAATGCCAGCTCTGTGGGAAGTGTTTCAGCAACCCCTCCCACCTCACTCAGCACTACCAGCTCCATCCTCCAGAGATACCGGTTGGGGGCAGTTACTGTTAAAACACTTTTCTTAACCTGCTTGAGTTTATCCATTAGAGAAATCTTTTAATGCCCTTAATTTGAGACGGCCCTCACCTAATTAGAAAATTCAGGATGGTGAGAAATAGTGCATGGTTAAAAGTGTACAGGACATTCTTTTTATTAAGCAATTAATTTTGTACGCATCAAAAGTCTCCTCAACGAAACATTATAAACAATATTTCTGTCACTTAAAGAAGGCAACAGATTTTACCTTCCTTCAGTTTCATGGGGTGGAGAGCGTTGATTTGGACATCCTGATAAAACAGTTTATCATTGACAGTGGGGTCCCAGCCTCACAGTCTGTAGTCTGAGTTCTTGTCGAAGAGTTAATATACAGTGTACATTTTTTATTGGACAGATCAGCGATATAAAAATATTTTCCACGTCTTACCCCACATTAACGAACTCACAACAGTAACAGTTTCATGGGGTGGAGAGCGTTGATTTGGACATCCTGATAAAACAGTTTATCATTGACAGTGGGGTCCCAGCCTCACAGTCTGTAGTCTGAGTTCTTGTCGAAGAGTTAATATACAGTGTACATTTTTTATTGGACAGATCAGCGATATAAAAATATTTTCCACGTCTTACCCCACATTAACGAACTCACAACAGTAACTCCAGTGATAGTATTAGTGAAATGTTTGCAGAATAGCTCACTTACATAAAAATGTTAGACTCCTAGATCTGTTCAGGAATGCTTGCTCAGGGGTCTAGGGCTGATGTGCATTCCATTGTACACACAAAGCAAAGTTGAAGCTCCAAGTTG